ATATAGCCGGTATAACCCCCCTTCCCGGCGCCAACTATCAGCTTCTTCGGGAAGGTGGGGGAGATGTGAGGGGGGCCTGGGCGGGCGGAGGGAAGAGTTAGGGATGTCTTAATCTGTAAAGTTGTTATAACCACCCTTTCCGGCGCTAACTATCAGCTCCTTCGGGAACGTAGGAAAATATGTGAGGGGGACCTGGGCGGGCAAGAGGAGGGGACCGGTTACAGCATGACCTCTGCTGGAACAACCGTGGTGTCCTTACCGTGCTGTACCTTAGCGTACTATACTACTGTACCGTGCTGACTATGCTGTACTATACCGTGCTGTACTATGTTGTACTAACGTGCAGGTTCGTTGTTGATAACCGGTAACAGCGTGACCTCGGCAGGCACCATGGTGTCCTTACCGTGCTGTACCTTAGCGTACTATACTACTGTACCGTGCTGACTATGCTGTACTATACCGTGCTGTACTGTGCTGTACTAACGTGCAGGTTCGTTGTTGATAACTGGCAGCAGCGTGACCTCTGCAGGAACCATGGTGTCCTTACTGATGCAGCCGTTACTCGTGTTCTCCTCGGGGAATCGGCTGGAGGGGCGAAAAAAGGGCATTTCAGAAATGTTATGATGTTAGATATTAAATACGGCTATGCAGATTGAACTTCTGGACACACAAACAAACAAACAAACACACGGACCCCGCCGTACCTGCACTCCAGCTGGCGCGGCCACTGGAACCCGAACTTGTTCATCAGGTTCTCGCAGCCCCGCCTGCTGCTCTGGCAGAACTCCCGGCATGGCGGCAGCGCGGTCCCGTCAGCCGTCTGGGGTGACACAGGCGGGTCATGCTTCCGTGCAACTCAATATTTTCAGCTATAATCTTCTATTCCTTCACTCATTAATACACCACATGCCAGTATAATCCTTGGAAAATTCGGCAAATCCATGTTCTTGCATACACTTACTACACATAAACGTGTCTGATCCTAACCCTGACCAACCCAGACACCAACCCAACGGTTCTGGATACAATACTTGCAGCTAAGATACAGCTGAGTAGCTAGTCCGGACAACTTAGTACCTTCTTGTCACACGGCGGGGCGTAGAGCGTGCAGATGGAGCTGTCAGTTCTTTAAGTTACAGGCGTCTAGTCTGGGTTAGGGTCTGGGGGAGAACTTGTGGTGACCAGGTTAGTCCGGAAAACTTGCCTTCTTGTCGCAGGGCGGCGCGTAGAGCGTGCAGATGAAGCTGAGGATGTCGGGAGAACACGGCATCTTGGCGAGCGGGTGGAACCGCATGATCTCCGCGGATGCGGTGGCCTGGCTGGCGTGGCCCAGGAAGTTCGGGTAGGACGTCAGGGAGTAGGGCAGGTCCACGCACATCGGGATCACCATCTCCTCACAGGCTGTACGGTTAGAGTCTGCAACGGGAGGAACAGGGCGTTACACACAAGCAAACATACACACGCACACGCACACACACACACACACACACGCTGGTTATGGAGTAGGGCAGGTCCACGCACATCGGGATCACCATCTCCTCACAGGCTGTACGGTTAGAGTCTGCAGGGGAAGGAACAGGGCGTTACACAAAAGCAAACATACACGCACACGCACACACACACACACACAAGCAAACACACACACACACACACGCGCGCGCGCGCACGCTGGTCAGGGAGTAGGGCAGGTCCACACACATCGGGATCACCATCTCCTCACAGGCCCTACGGTTAGAGTCTGGAACATAGTTACACAGAGCGAAATGTTACACACAAGCAAACATACACGCACGCGCATACACACACACACACACACAAACACACGCGCGCGCACACACACACAGACTTACCGTCCACCCTGAGGTATGTTTTCCCGGTGACGCTTCCGGAGACGCTGAGCGCCTTGCAGACGTACCAGCCCTGGTCCTCGTTACTCACCCGCCGGATGATCAGCTCGCCGCTGTTGGACACGCGAAGCCGCCCGGCGGTCTTACCGGGGAAGTGCAGGATCTGTGGCACGGGGAGATGTATAATGACAAATAAACTGTTCTCCAACTCTCATCTCGTCAGCTATCTGACCAAAGTGCTGTAGACACGTGATTTTTCCGCACGTGTGACGTCAGCACTGGGTCAAAGTTCGTCGGAAGTCGGTACCGCCCCCCCCCCCATCAAAGATGAAGGCCCATAACTTGTTAACAGATCTTGTTTTCATACATGTCCAGACGTGTTATGTCTGAGGGGCCTTAGATCTAAACATACTGCCCAAAATATGCCACATACCGTCATACGCTGGTGATCCGGCTCATAGAAAGTATTCACACACGTGAGATTCATATTCCATATCAATCAAAACCGTTTCAGTATAAAAATGCCATCCGCCATGCATATTGTTGCAACTCTCGGTGGCTATAGCCCCTAGTATCACTTGTAGAACAGTGTTCTTTTAGCTTTTATGAGAGATATGTTTAACAAGTCTGCGTACTACTTGTTTTTACCAGGGCTGACCGAGACCTACTTTTGTAACACCACAGTCCCGACCGCGGCACACCAAGGCCAGACACGGTGCATCTCCTAAGTAAAATACGCAACTCTTCACTTCCCGACAGTCGCGGCTTAGCGTCGGATCTGGGGCGTGCAGGGATTTCCGTTGGCCTTGAGCTACATTTCAAGCGTTGGAATATTTACAGTTTGACCTACATTTGGTTTATCCAGGAGCCGCCAAGTTTACTCTCGTCCTGCCTTTCCCAAGTGCCAAACGCCACGCGGTCACGTTTGTAAACCGGCGGTGCGCGGAAGTTGTAAATAGCACTTTTGTTAAACCAGTTCTCGGTGGTTTCGACTGCCCTGAAGTTACGAGACAGTTTCCATGCGTGGTCGTTTTGGTGGGCGGAGGCGGTCGTCCAAAACACACGGTTCTGAATAGTTCACGAGTATCCAGAACCATGCCTGGGGCAAATCTACGTTCTTGGATACGCAAAGACTATCCAGAACCGTGCCTGGGGCAAATCTACGTTCTTGGATACGCGGAGACTATCCAGAACCGTGCCTGATCCTAACCCTAACCGATTCAGGCATAGAACTAGGAAAGGTTCTGGATACGATAAGAAGCATGACTGTGTTGTCTGCCTTCCTTATAGGGTGGGGGTTGGGGGGTATGATACAGGGCGGAGGGTTGGGGTCAGGGTTAAGGGCGGGGGTTGGAGTCAGGGTTAAGGGCGGGGGTTGGAGTCTGGATTAAGGGCGGGGGGTTGGGGTCAGGGTTAAGGGCGGGGGTTGGAGTCTGGGTTAAGGTATGATACAGGTTTAGGTGCCGTTATGAGTTAGATGTTATGTACACACCTGGCTGCCCTCCTTGTACCAGAAGATAGCCGGAGGAGGGTTGGGGTTATGTGTGTTGAGAGGTATGACAGTACCATACCTGACTTCCCTCCTTGTACCAGAAGATAGCCGGAGGCGGGTTGCCGGTCGCCTGACATTTGAACGTCGCCGTTTCCTTCCAGGCGATGGTGACGTTTTCCGGGTACACCAGGACGGCTGGACGCACGCGCACTGGGAAACACGGAAACAAGGGTTCTGTTAGAATGGACCACTGAAAGAATAGCTGTTAAGCTTAATGTGGATCCAAATAAAGTCATATGGTGACCAGCCCCCCAACTGTATCCCGTCACTTGCTACCTAGTTCAACAGTGTGTCCACTACATCATGATGGTCTGATATAGAATTCACAGATTCAGCTCTTCAGGCCAGGATACCTTTGAGTATGAGAAGCAGTTGTTGTGAATACACATTTAGGTTCAATCAAGCTAAAATGTCAGTCATGACTTGAACTTTCTGTAAACTTTCTGTGCCATGTAGACTAAGACCGAGACCTGCCCACAGCTGGTAGGCATTCATCACGTCTTGTGCCGGATCACCTGTCTGCTGCTGTCTTGCCCTGTATCACAGGACGGCTGGCGTGGCCGTGTGAAACGCCGGGTACACACCGTCTGGAAGAACCTGACTTTGGGGCCGGTTAGCCTGACATTGCGGCTGGTTTTCCTGACATTCGGGCAGTTTCGTGCGGGGGTGAGAACACGTGCCGTCTGAGGGACAGCCGTGAAGGTGTTTCATGCCGGCCGGGCACGTACAGCACATCTGTATGGCTCAGCCGGCTCCGTGTAGGCACGGCTCTGAATACGATACGGTGCCTTATGAATGGCTGTAAGGAGCCGGCTGAGCTGGTCGGGCACGTACAGGACATATGTACAGCTCAGCCGGCTCCTTACAGGCATTCATCATGCACCATGTATCTTATCCAGAACCATGCTTATCTAGTTCTATGCCTGAATGCGTTAGGGTTAGGATCAGGCATGGTTCTGGACACAGTCTCCGAGTATCCAAGAACGTAGAATTGCCCAAGTCACGGTTCTGGATACGCGCGAACTATCCAGAACGGTACTTAAGCATGGTTCTGGATACAATATGCACCCTTGTGAGCATACTGCATGGCACCGGTAGCATTGCTGCCGGAAATGTCTCTAAAGGTCAAACGCTCGTCGCAGTATTTTCCTGCTGTTTAACACTAACCTTCAGAGCTGCTTTTTTCCTGTCGAAGCTTTCTTGTTGCACCCTACACTAGCGAATCTGTCTCCAACTCGGTTGTTTTGGTTCCTGACGACACGGCCCATTTTCCACCAAAGCTACAAACTCCCCGGATGGCCGTTTGACCCTGACGGCGCCATCACTCTTTCCCTGCTGAAGCCGCGACTGTCAGATGTAGCAAACACCGGAACAGTGGCGGGGAAACAACAGTGGCGGGAACACCGTGAACTGTGGCGGGAAAACAACAGTGGCGGGAAAACAACAGTGGCGGGAAAACAGCGAACAGTGGCGGGAAAACAACACGGTGGCGGGAAAACAGTGAACAGTGGCGGTTAAACAGTATTCGGAGGCGCGAAAGCAACAGCTAGAAGTGGCCCCTACTCTTTGCGATGGCTTGTTTAACCTTGCCCGAGGTATGTCTCTTCTCAAATATGGGGCCTCCGGCTTAACTTCTGTTCGCCCTGATCGAATAGGATGTCCCTGACCGAAGCTAGGTTCTCGTTTTGTCCTGAGTCGAATGAGAAGCCTACTTCCAGATCCGAGCTCATACGCTAGCGGTCGTGTCAGTTCTGGGTGGCATCCAGGAACATCAGACCTCCTGACACGACACATGCAGACGACATGGTGACACATGTTCGGGTCCCTGACACGGCACATGCAGACGACATGGTGACACATGTTCGGGTCCCTGACACGACACATGCAGACTACATGGTGACACATGTTCGGGGTCCCTGACACGGCACATGCAGACGACATGGTGACACATGTTCGGGGTCCCTGGACACGACACATGCAGACGACATGGTGACACATGTTCGGGTCCCTGACATGGCACATGCAGACGACATGGTGACACATGTTCGGGTCCCTGACACGACACATGCAGACGACACGGCACGTGTTCGGGTCCTGTCACGACACATGCAGACGACATGGTGACACGTGTTCGGGTCCCACCCTTCCATTCAAACACCTAGCTTCGGACTAGACAACACGTGGGGAATTCAAACTATCAGGGCTAGTTAGCCGTCTGAGCACTTCTGGATTGAACATGTCAGACCGAGGCGATGGTGAACAGGTCTCGGAAGTGCAGGTGGCGGAAGGGGGGGTGATTCAGCTGACTAACAGGCACCTGGGTACTTTTCGGTTACATGCAATTCAGGACGGAAATACAAAAAAATATTCCCGATGAGGAAGTCTGTCTGACATTGACATTTACTGCCATTTCATAGCATATTTTTTACCAGAGACCAGTAAAACTGGAAACCTTCAAGGCCAAATGGAAAGATAGTACAGAGCTAGAGCATGCTGGATATCTACCTACAACAATGAGATCTTGTCACAGAAAATCGTGAGTAGACTATAATATATTATGTGCTTTCCAACATAGTGAAGACCGCACGAATGATGGCCAGAGTCTGTAGATGCATTTACAAGGTAGGAGGTAGGAGAGAAAGGTGGGTTTCGAGGTGTTTTGGGTTTGCAGTTAATTAAACCTGGCATCGCTTTAGACTACGGTTCTACCCACCGACTTGCAGGTCTGTAGTTTTAAGCATCACGCGTCATTTGGAAGTGCTGAGCTTCTGCAGCAGTCAAAACATCGGACCAGTGTTTAAGCCATGGCTAAGGTCCTCTGAAACGGCCGTGTGTCGTCTCTTGTGTCAACGCGTGTGTCCAGACGCTTGCAGTCAGCAGAATACGGAGGGAAACTGCTGAGGGATTTGTGGGTAAGTCCTGCCAGATGCGGGAACTTCAAACAACGGCGGTTCAGGGTCAAGTTGAAGACTACAAATTAGCAATGTCAGACCTCCCCGTAGATATAGTGTTTTTGCGGATTCCTTAATTTAATTGTTTTTCTTTTCAATTTCTGTGAATTCTGTGAATTTCTGTCTATACATTTCTGTCTGATATGAAACGTCTCCCATATTAAAGCAACAAACATGCATATAGCAGGAAATTGGGATAACCTTGCGATAACCTCTCCTGAGACCTTTGACCTAACATGTGGCATGTGGAGATAACTACGGAAAACAGAACATCCGTGCACTGAAGTAACAAGTCACACAGAAAGGCTGAAATAATCACTTTATTACCAGCCTTCAATTCGCACATTATGACTGTTGACATGAACTTAATATCTACCGTGTCACCTATTGAGGACGACGTTTACCTTTCATTGAAATTATAAAACTGCAATTAAGCAAGCCTAAATCTAATGTGTAAAATTGAGCTACGAAAAGATGATAAGTAAAAACACGAGGTAAAAGAACATAAAAAATAACAAGAATTCTCACTTCTTGTTCCATCATGGATAACTTTTCAGCGTACCGCTAGGTTCTCTTCTAGCTCACATCATTACACTAGTCTAAGATCTTCTACAGCAAGTTTCTTTCTATGGACTGCAAAACCATTGAATTGTCCCCGTGGCAAGTGTTTCCTCCCATATACAACCCACAAGCCTTCACAAACCAAGAGTTGAAGAGACGTTCGTCACCATTTCTTGGCGTAGTCACTAAACCCCACTAACAACTTAGTTCAGTGCCCAGAAGTGGTCTAAGCAACTACGTAAAAAAAAAACCTTTACCGTTTGGCGCCTCCTCTCCGTGGTCAGAAAGGCAGGCGGCGACGCACAGGGCGAGGAAAACCACCGCGCGTGGGAGCTCCATCCTCTTCCGGTGCTTTCCTCCCAAACCGTCAGCAAAGAAAGTTCACAGACCAAAAACGGACAGACACTCCGTCGGTAGAAGAGTCGAGCGTGTCTGCAGAAGCGACTTTTAAGTACAGAAAACTTCGCGCTGACAGACGGAAGCTCGACGCGACCGGACTCCACACGGCGGGACGGTTCTGCGGCTCTGCTGAGATGGAAGCGCTCAGCTCGAGTCTTCATCTGGCGAGGGGCGGGACTCTCCGCCGCTCTGACCTCCCCCATTTATACCGGCAGCGTCAAAGCCGCGCCGATTGTTGAGGTTTGCCGCGAGTCAACACCGGTCTCGCCTGACGGGGCGCGGGGCGCGGGAGGTCAGGAGTAAGGTCCGGGGGGAAACACGTGCGGCGGCGCGCTGCGGTCACGGCCGGACCAGATGGACTAGGGAGCTAGAGAGATGCTCCGCAAACAGGGGTGTGCGGGGGACACGTGCAAAAGCTGCACGTATACTACAGTGCTATTATTGCAAAAGCTACACGTATACTATAGTGTTATTAGTTGCTCATGTGCGGGGGTCCACGTGCAGCGGTCTGCGGTCACGGCCGGACCAGACTAGGGAGAGGGTCCGCAAACAGGGGTGGGCGGGGGGCACGTGCATTCTCTTCTTCGCAAGCTCCGAAGAGAACTATGTTTCCCGTCTATTTCACAGACAAACACACACAATTAGGGTAGTGAGCTCACCGTCACCTCAGTACGGTCGGGCATTTATTGCAATTGGCTCCTCAACTCAGTAACACCATTACTCTCTACACATTGTAGCTCTCATAGCATGTACATACTTATACAGGAGCCTAATACAACAACAACAAGTCATGTGCTGCGAGCTGGCGACCTATTTTACCCTGGTTGCCAATTGTTTAGCCAAAGTCGGGCTGGTCGGTTAAACCAAGGCTCTGTCCAGCGGATGTTTAACGCATCCCGACTTGTATTAAAGTAACTTCTAACCGGCGAAGTTCAAAAGCTCATCTGCGTGAACAAGGTTGAAAACATCCTGGCTAAGCAAATGATGCGTTACAGGTACACCTGAGTAACTACTGACCTTCGTAAGTTAAGTGGTTCAAAATACGACAATAACACAATTCTGGAGTATATCAGAGGTTATAGCTACACAACATACTGAGTACAGCAAATGGCCACAATGTGACTGTGAACGCTAGCAAGGCAAGTATCTTGCAGAGAAGAGACAACATGAAGGTTATGTAACAACTGATTACGTACGCTAAGTCGCAGGTACAATTGAGGATACCGTACAGTGCTATGACGAAATGTACGAGTCTAGATAAGTCAGTAAGAACTAAGGTAGCGCGATGTCGTATGAGATGAGAAAACATAACTAACGTTCTAGAATCCAGGTGTTCTCGGGTTAGTCATGGGAGGGTTGGGTGGGAATGTGACCGTATAGAGAAAGGTTGAGCCACGAATGACCCTTACGAGGGTTAGGGAGGAAGGGTCAGAGGGTAAAGGGGCGGAATAATTAGTATCAGGGTAGGGGTCACGTGATTGTCTGTTCAGCCGACGGGAAACGAGATAAAGCTACACGTATACTATAGTGTTATTAGTTGCTCATGTGAGGGGGGCACGTGCAACAGCTTCACGTATACTATAGTGTTATTACTTACTCATGTGAGGAGGCCCACGTGCAGCGGCGGTCTGCGGTCACGGCCAAACCACACAGAACAGGGAGATGCTCCCCAAACAGGGGTGGGCAGGCAGACACGTGCGAACCCGGCACGTGCTCAAACAAGTTACAACATTTTTATACATCTGTTAACCAATAGGTTATTATATTACAATAGATGGTATTGCATCAAAACTAACCAAGTGGTCAGAACGGCGCTCAGCAAACAAGGATGGGAGGATGACACGTGCAAAACCTTCACGTGCGTGTTTTAAGTTCGTCTTTAATTAAAATCCTGCTGTTTTCTAGACTTCTCCAGTGTCACTGACGAAAGGTAATGGACGCTACCTGAACCCTTTCCAAAATCATATCCAGTTGCTTGAGTAACTGTTTTAGCGTCTCTTGTTACCTAGTCTAACCTTCATCCACGCTTTACGTCCTTAATGGTATTGGTTCGACGGACTACTTGCACATATAAAATACTACCACAAAGTAGAATATACCATAGCACAGAATTATCTATAAACCTCTTTTTTATTCTTTACGTTCCTGCCGCGAAAACACGAAGCCAAGAACAACTCCATCTGGCTATCATGTGACTATCACGTGGGGGAATGCGCCCGCATTGGTTGCCATGGACGCGATGCGGTTGCTATGCGCGTTGCTATGCGCGTTGCTATGCGGACCCTTCCAAGTTCGGCCGGTGTCAGGTCGCGTTTGAACCTCGGCGCGCGAAACCGGGGGTAGGATCGCGACAGGATGACTAGGAAAATAAACATGGGAGGTTATCTTCCGCACACATCTATCATATCTAGTTTAATTTATGCCTGTCTAGTTCTATGTCTGAATGGGTGAACAGACAGACAGATTACCTTATTGCACATTCATGCCCGATCGGGCTAAGTACAGGTAAACAGATGCAAAGGTAATATTATATATTTGTAAAACAGACAGGACTGCTGATACTAATCTAGCAAAACTAGCTCTAAAACTACTCTTATACAGAGGTTCGGCTTTTTCTTGTTTCTTAACGTGAGGGTCAGGCACAGTTATGGATAGTCTCCAATAACGTATCCAAGAACGTAGATTTGGCCCCAGGCACGGTTCTGGATACGCATGGACTCCCCAGTACCGTGCCTGAGCATATTATGAATAAAGCAGGGTTCTGGATACAGTAAAGTGCGTGACACGATGACTGTGGAAATAAACAGTTGGTTATCCACAGCCCGCGGCGTCTGCCGGCTCGAGCCGCTTTCCAACCGGACGGACGGGGGCAATGTCCTCTCGGGCGCTTGCCTGGTTGTTTGGGGCTCGAGAATGCAGCCAAACCTGTACCAGTGCTCCCAATAAGGCAATTGATATGCATGAGCAGTCAAACCTGCAAACCTACATGAGTACAAACACACAAACAACACCCCAGGATTTTTACTAACACAGGCTGTTCGTCAAGACACTTAAAGAATGGAATTTCTTCAGAACAGAGAGGAGTTTCCACAGTTTAGAGTTTGGGTACATTTTCATGTTGTGTTTGTTTGTTTGTTTGTTTGTTTGTTTGTCTGTTTGTTTGTTTGTTTGTTTGTTTGTTTGTTTGATGCAGCCATAAAGCCATAAGTCAGAATGTATGAAATGACATTTTGTTGAAAGCATGAATCATTCACGACACTCCTTCATTATCACCGACCGTACACAGCAGTACCTGCTGGGTACTGACGTGGTTCTCCCGAGCCCCACCTGTTAACCCGTACATGTAGGACCACCTTTCGGGCAAGAAGTGGGGCAATGGAAGTATAGAATGCGCCGCGGGGGCTGAATTAAAGATTTTATACGTCTTGTTTCCATGGAAACTTCAGTCTGTTCCTCTCTTTCTAATGTAGTTACATGTAAAAAAAAACAAAGACTGCTTCAGTTTAGAAACAAGTGATGAAAAAACAAAGCTAAGTTAGCTCCTCGAATGGTCTGAGATGAGACTGTTTGTGTGTTAATTGATGACTATACGACACGAGTCGGACCGGTTGGTGCGGTTGCTCCAGACAACGCGCGAATGCAGGACAGCCGGCCCACAGAACAACAACATGGCGAGAAGAACAACGTTAACAACAGCTTCTGAAGATGAAGACGAAGAAACGGCGGAAAACCGCGTCTGTTCCCGGACGGACCTGCAGTCGGCTTCCAGCCTGGTTCTGGCCGTGTCCTGTACTCTGTTTGGCGCCTTCGCGTCCCAGTTCATGGCTCTGAGCAGCCAGGCCGGCGTGCCGGGGCTCCAGCTGATCTTCCTGATGAAACTGACGCAGCTCCTGTGCGTTCTCGTGATCCTGCCGTTCGTCAGACCCAAGCTGACGACGGAAGACGCGCCTCAAGCGCTCACCCTGTCCGCGACGACGGTCACAGACAACCTGGGGACCGTCCTGATGTTCTTGTCGTTCGTGTACGTGGTGCCGGGCGTCGCGTTCGGCGTGATCCAGGGCGCGATCCCGGTGTCCACGGCGTGCGTCGGATTCCTGTTCCTGGGGGAGCGGCTGGACGCGATAGACTCGGGCGGGATCCTGTGCAGCGCGGCCGGAGTGGTGCTGGTGGCGGTGGGGATGAGCACGGCGGCCGACTCGTCCTCCCACCCGCAGCTGACTCTCGCGATCGGCATCCTGCTGCCGCTCGCCGCCGCCTTCACCAAAGGCCCGAATAACGTGCTGATGCGCTCCCTGCTGGGCGTGCGCGGCGTGTCCGTGGTGACCGTGGTGCTGTACGTGCAGCTGGCGGGCACCCCGGCGCTGCTAGCCGCACCTTACTAC